TACGGGTACGGGTATATACATACCCGCCTCGTACCCGTACCCGTACCCGATTTAGTTATATTAAAAAAAATTAATATTTTATTATGTGTAATTATTTATTATAATGTGAAACATTTATAATTGTGTAATTACTCAGACACATATTGATTAAAACATGAGATAAAGAAATAATCTAATTATAATTATAATAGAAAAATAATTTTAAAATATTATGTATTTTTTTGCAAAAAAAAAAATTAATTTTTTACGGGTACGGGTATACCCGATACCCGGCGGGGACGGGGATGGGGATGAAAATCACATACCCAACGGGTACGGGTACGGGTACGAGGATGAGTTTGTGTCGCGGGGACAGGGACGAGTATCATAAAACTCATACCCAAACCGCCCCGTTGCCATCCCTAGAAGAGTCCATGCACCATGGTGGTGCAAAGCATTCTAGCTTAGTGAGATGAGTCTCGTTGAGGAGCCTTGAAAGTATGAAGGTGAAAAATCCAAGTATTGTGTTCTCACTAGATGATGCATAGGTCACTCAGTGAGAATGCATGCAAGTGATAAACACAATGAAGACTCATTGAACGACACTTAGTCACTAAACGGAAGTGACCCACAAAAAAATGGGGACACTGACCGAGATAGGCTTGCTTAGTGGATGGAGCCATAGAAAGTTGCGACCATTAAGTGAGAGATACATGCTCAACAAGAAGATTTCCAAAAGGTTTAGCTCACTCAATGAGCTTGAGCACACTTAGAAAGGAGCTACAAAGGGCTTTAGTCGCTAATCTTGTTTCTTAATAACTTGTTCTTGGTGTTATGAGATGAACCCCTATGACTTAGGTGGGCCAAGGAATGGTGATAATGATGATTTAAGATTGCATGTGATGCATGGTGTATAATTATAAAGTTGTTGATTGTAATGATAATGATATATGTTGTATAATGATGAAACATGATGATATAAAAGAATTGAGATGTATGTTGCTTAAGTTGAAAGGTATATGTTGAATGTTGTTTAAGTTGTGGTGTGCACGTATTGAATGTTTTTAAGTTGAAAGTTTAATAAAAAATAAAGGAGAGAATTGTTTCAAATATTAAAATATCTCACTATGTGGATATAAGTTGTGATACTATACGAGCCTAATGTTAAAGTTGCACTCCGATTAGGAAGTTGTTTTCAAAGTTGTCTCCTCTAAATTTTTCAATTAAAACAATATGGTGGAAAAGCCAAACCATACTTGTCTAAAGTGACCATTGAGTAATACACAAAGTTAGGGGTCACAATCCCTATCTGAATGTTGGAAGGGTGCATAGTACTAAAAGGATAAATAACTAGATAATTCCACATTGAGACTTGATTAATGCATATCAATGTTGTGATAGACCTACACCTAATTTGTACCATATATGCTTGATAGTTGTACTAGACCTTCCTAATTTAAATGGTGAAATTTGAAAAACCAATTAAGTTGTTTTCTAGTAACCATGACAATCGTTGTATTCTGGTTACCACGTCAACCATTGTATGTTCGATTCCGTTAACTAAGTTGTAGGAGATTTTCAAAGTTGATATGTGTGATGATGCACAAGTTGTTTAGTTGCATTAATTTTTAATTATTTAAGTTTTCTAGTTGCTCGGTCATTAAGTTGTTAGTTGTTTAATTATTTCGGATGATATAATTATTAAGTTGTTGAAGTTGTGAATGTTGACTACATGAGTTGTGGCGTGCTCAGATGATTTTAAGGCGTTTCATATTGATTTAAGGTGTTTCATATTGATTTTTAGTTGATGATGATGTTTGATCTTAGCATGCTATGTTGTTTTCTTTCACAAGTCTATCCTTATTTTTTCATGTGTTAGAATGTGCTAATCATACTTGGTGTGTGAACAGGTCAGTAGTAAGTTAGAGGAAAAGTATAATTGGGTGGTTATGCTGGAGATGAAGTTTAGTGGAATTGTTTTAATAAAATAATGTATAGACCTGTTTAACCAACACCTAGGATTTTATGTTTTAAGTACAAATATTTTGTAAATGTATATGTATATATGTATAATGATGGATTTAATCGATCACATAAGAGATTTTGTGCTTTTTGTTGAAATTAACAATAATTATTTTATGTTTTTTACACCTTATACATATTTTTGTTGTATGAATATATATCTAGATACTATTTGTATGAGAATCTTAGGTTAGAAAATCTGTGTTTTTCATTGCATAGTTTATTTGTATGAGAATCTTAGGTTAGAAAATCTGTGTTTTTCATTGCATAGTTTATGTTGTGTCATACCAAATATAGTGACTTTTGGATCGCTACAACCAACTTCTTCACCTTTTCCCTTCAATTGTCACCTCTCCGCACCTTGTCAAAGATTTTTTCTATCAAGTCTTATTAGTCTTCCAACTTTGCTTACTTTGCCACCTCCACTACAAAACCACACTCATTTTCTTTTCGTGTTTTTATGTGCAGATTATTAACGATCGTGATACCAGAAGATCAAAAGGGCTTGAACTTGTGACCTTCGCATTCGAGAAGTGCATGAAAAATGCATTGAAAGGATGAATGTGATAACATTGATGACCATAACACGACTATTAATGAAGTTCAGTTCTACAACAACTATGTTGGATGCAATGACAATTATGAAAGCAATAGCAGTGGAAACAACCATGGTGATGATGGTGGCATATATGGTGGTCATCACGAAAATGGATACAATTGTAACAATGAAATTCGTGTTACCTAAGATTTTAAGTCATAAAACTTCATTACAATATAAGCAGTTTCAATGTAAGCTAAAGATCCATAAAGACCAATATTAAGAATATTGTATAAACTAACAAACAGCAAGCATTATTCAGTGACTTAAAATAAATCAAGAGCTTAAGAACATATATAATATGTGATTTAAATGGTGAATGCATTTTACTGGAGAAGTCAAGATAATTTTTAAAATAAATAAAAAAAGAATTGGTGAAGTCAACTAGGACACAACACATTCCACATTCAGTAAATTAAATTTATTTAATGTACAACCCACTCCAGCATTTGTCTATTCCCTTCCAACCATCACTTGTTTATTTCTCTATTTTAAGAAGAGAATATACCACTTGTCTATTTGGAAAGTAAAAAATAACTAGGATTAGTTTATCATCTCATAATCCCAACGATTCCAAAACTGCAACCAACGAATCCTACGGTCCCAAATACTTTTTTTTTTTCAAAAATAAAAAATAAAAAAACATTGTTTTGTCAATTTTACTTGCAATATTTTCTTTAGGTAAAGAAACTTTTAAAGAAGAAAGTGGGGAATCAACATTAATTCGTCATCTTAAACCAGCACCAAAACCAAAAGGCATATCAATTAACCAATCCCTAAAGTGTGGAGAATATGCACTAATCATTGCTTATGAACTGAAACATTGTTGTACAATTAAGCTTCTTCACTTGGACCATATCTAACGTTCCACACATGATGTTTGAGTCCAATTCTACCTTACACAACTCAAAGCAAATTTTGTTTTGTTTTTTTGTTGAGTTCACAACTCAAAGGCATAGTCACAAGTCACAAATCTCTCATCTGCCACACAGTCACTCTCCTTGTCTATCGCTCCTTTTGTCGTTCACACTTTTTCATTTGTTACTATTGTTAATTGTCTGAAAAGTTGAATGCACAGTCCAAAGTTCCAGTCACTTTCTCCACTCTACCATTTTTCCATTTGGCCACCACCACTATTTTTTCTAGAGGCATCCTTTGTGTTATTATTGCAATTATATTTATATATTTATTTTCATCTTATTTTAATATTCTTTTATGCTTGAATATACTTTAATTTCTTAAATTTAACATAAAATTACTTTTAATTCTTTGAATTTAACATTGATATTTTAAATCATTATAATTTAAGAAATCTTGTTTTAATGTCGAGAAAAACTAGGAACATAATTAACAATGAAATATTGAAACAATTATTTATTATCAAATAAGTTTAATATAATATTTTTATAAAAAAAATACTAATAGATGATTTTGTATAACAAATTAATTAATAAGTAAGTTTTATTTGACATATTTACTAACAACAATTTAAAAGAAAAACTAAAATATTCTCATTTTTCAAATTAAACAAATCGAAAAAATCAAATTTAAATTTAAGAGATTGAAATAAATTAGTATCATAGCCGACAATAAAATATTGAAACAATTATACAATATAAAAAAATTTAATGTAATATTTTTATGAATAAAGATATTAATAGGTGATTTTGTATAACAAATTAAATAATATATAAATTTTATTTGACACATTTACTAACAATAATTAAAAGAAAAAACTAAAATCTTTTCCTTTTCAAATTATACTGATCGAAAAGATCAAATTTAAATTTAAAAGGATAAAAGTAAATTTAACTCTAATTTAAGATATAAAAATAAATTAGTATCATATTTGACAATAAAATATTGAGTGAATTATATAATATTATTTAAGTTTGATATAGTATTTTTTATGAACAAAGATAGTAATAGAAAATTTTGTATAATAGATTAAATAATAAATACGTTTTATTCGTCAAATTTATTAATAACATTTGAAAAAATATATATTTTTAAAATTATATGGATAAAAAAATCAAATTTAACTTGAAGAGATAAAAATAAATTTAACTCTCATTTAAGAGACTTAAAAAAACATATTTAAGTTTTACTTATTATATTTTGTCAATTTTTTTCTCAATGCCAATTTTTACTGCTGAAATTCACCCCAAACAGGGGTGGAGGTAATAATATTTCCCCTTGATTTAACCAAGAATGACAAAATAAAAAACAGATAGTCAAAATCACTGGTGAGAGAAACTTACCCGTGAGAAAGCAACAAGAGAAAAAAGAAAAAGAAAAAGAGTGTTTTGCATAATTTTTTGTTGAGTAAAGGTAATTGTCTCCTGTTGATTTAGCTTCTGCCTCTCTCACACCACATCTAGATTGAAGTAAGAGTTATTAAATTACTTTTTCTTCATTCCAACAAGTTACTTCTCCTTAGAGAGAAACATCAAACATGGGTCTTGCACTTTCTCTGCCCATGTTCTTGGAGGCTTATCGGCAGCTGTGAGAATTTAGAGATTTTAAGATTTACTTAACCATGTATGTTAGTGAAGTTTCTCTCTCTCTTTTTGTTTTTTTTTTTTTTTTTTTTTTTTTTTTTTTTTTTTTAAATGTGAAGTCATGTTTTATATATATATTTTTCTCTTACAGAAAACAACAAAGTCCTTGAATTGACATTAATTTCTTTTCAACCCCTTTGAGGGCCAAGTTGCTTTGAGGTTGAGGTGACGTTCATGTCTATAGTCTTTCAGAATATCTTTCAATATCCATCTCTTTTTTTTTTTCTTTTTTTTTTTTAACTCTTGTAATTTATTTATTTATTTTTTTGCAATCTTTAAATTTATGCGTTTATTCTTTTGGCTTCCTCTGAGAACCCAATTCTGATTTCCCTCTTGTGTTGATTGACCCCTTTATCCTGTTTTTGTTCCCAAGTCAAAGTCTTGCTCAGCTTGTGGTGATAACACAAGGGGATTCAAGTTCTGATTCCTGTGTGAGTGCCTTACAGGTTTGGCTCTGGCATCTTAAAAGGGACATCATAAAGCAACATAGTTTTGTGGGAGCAACACTATTATTGGTCATGGATTGGCACGGGAAAGAGCTTGCTTGGGATCCACGTGGGTTGGAGTTGGCTAATGGTGAAGGGCAGAAGAATGAAGCAGCCTCAGTGGATTTGAGGCTTGGTGAGGAAAAACCGCTCCCAGATGGTGCTAAGGACGCAAAAGACTCAAAAACTGTGTCATCTCCATCTGGGTCATCAAAAAGGGCACGCCTTCAGAATGGATCACAGAACATGTGTTGTTCTGTTGATGGGTGCAGTTCTGACCTCAGTGACTGCAGAGAGTATCACAGGCGCCACAGGGTCTGTGAGAAGCACTCCAAAACCCCTGTGGTGCTGGTGGGGGGGAAACAGCAGCGGTTCTGCCAGCAATGCAGCAGGTATGGGTTGGAGTTTGGTTGTTGTGTGAGTGTTGGAGATTTGGGGGTGGGAATTTGTTCCATTCTCATGTTTGGCTGGGTATGTACGGATAAGCTTCTTCATAATCACTTTCAAGAGAGAAAGAAAATCAAAATAAGCTTTTCTCCGGAATCATTTCTAAGAGAGAAAGAAAATCAAAATAGACTTCAACTAGCTTATGCATGAGTTAAAAATAAGATTTTTAGAGAAACTAATAGAAAAAATTTTGACAACTTAGCTTATGAATAAACTACTTTTAGTTTATGGATAAACTTATTTCATTTTTTCTTCCTAATTTTTTAATTTAGAAGTGCTTCTAGAAAAATTTATCCATACAAGTTCTTAGACTTAGATGTGTTTTGTAACATGAGGTGGTGCCAATCGCTGTGTGTGTGTAGGTTTCATTCACTTGGGGAGTTTGATGAGGTTAAGAGGAGTTGTAGGAAGAGGCTTGATGGGCATAACAGGCGCAGGAGGAAGCCTCAGCCACCCTCTCTTTTCATGTCTGCTGAGAAATTCATGTATAATTACAAAGGTTTGTGTCAAGATGGCTTTTTGTCTATTATTGTTAAACGGGATCTCAATTGTATGGTTGAATTGGTATGAAAGGATAACCCCCCTCAATTAGAAAGAAACAAGAAAACCCTGCCACCAAACAACACCCCCTTGGTTAGTGATATGAAGCTCTCTGAAGTTAGGATTAGAACTTTGCTCAAGATTATTTCAAATTTTTATAATAAGTTGAATTCTTTGCTAAGATCAGAATTAGCCATAACTATTTGGTTAAATGTCATGATAAAGCTAAGTGATTGTCTATCTTGACTTTTGCATGAAACTTAGTTTGGAATATGACATTTAGGTTAGACATTTCCCATGGAGTTCAATTGTATGAACAGTTGGTTAGAGGAAAAATAAATGTAGGAGAGGATTTCTATTTCTTGACACTTTTGATATAACACTAGAGTACTTTATTTATACTATAGTTAGAGTGACTCTTAGGCTATGAAATGAATTCTTCCATTGCAATATTCTATTATTTCTGATCTATTTTGAATGAAAAAACTTAAATACAATTCTGTAAGTGCTTTTGATGTTGTTTTCCAATTAGAATTAGAGTTTTACCTTGAGAACGTATGTTGATCTTTAATGCAAATCTTTACTATGCTGCTTAGTGAGATAAAAAAACTAATTTTGGATCGAAAAACAAAGTTAAAAAAGAACTGCATCTAATTGAAGGAAAATGCTAACTAGTTCCTCAAGGCATTAGTTAAGGAATAAAAGGTGGAAGTTATAATGAGAAAGTGTAATATATAATGTTACAATGTACCCAATTGTGATTTCTGATAAACATCTTTTACTCTTTTTTTATCAGTAGGAAAGATTATGATGACGACAACAATGTTTGAACCTTGGACCTTGTGCATACTACCTCATCTCCCACCACTAGGTTGATTGTAGTCCGTAGTGGTTCATAATAATCTTTAACTTATTGATGAATAATGTTATATCCTCCTACAAATCCTTCTAATACTTCATAAAGAAAGTATTAAATAAAAAATTAAATGCATTTAATGTATTGGAAACATATTAATATTCCATACTTACCATACAAAGCAAATAGGAGGATTAGTTGGAAAATGTTGTAGGAGAATTTAGAATTATTCATTGATTCCGTAACCAGTGTCCTACGAGTACTTGTTAAAGGGACCCTTAAATGATTGGTTTTAGAATGATGTAAAGATACAAAAGTGACAAAAAAGGAGGGGAATATACATTTATTTCATCAGAAATACAGAAATCATTTATTTCCTTGCTTTCCCTATAAAAACTGCCTATTTTTGTATCTTTAGCATCAACCTATGGGCAGATGTGTGCTGCTGATATTAACAAAACTGTTAAATTATTCTAACACAATCTTTGTCAATGGTTACTGGTAAAATTTATTTTTTTTCTTGTCTTCCACAAGTGTAATTAATATGGACTTTTCTACCACTTAGGACCTAGAATCCTACACTTTGGTAGCCCTGAGACATATGCCAACCCTCTTATGAGAAATATGTGGCCTGCTACTGCCAAAACTGGAGCAGAATCTGGTTATGATCCTCCAAGGCTTTTATACAGAATTGACAAGCATAAGCAAGATAAGGGACATCCTCTTTGGCAAGAAAATGACCCTAAAGTAGGCATTGGCTACGAAGCAATGCCTGGAACTCCCATTTCTCAGCCTGTTCATGGAACCATTGCCCCATCAATGGGCGGAAAGAGCGGCCGGAAGCTCTCTTCAGATGCAAAACCTGGATCCTTTGACTCAGGTTGTGCTCTCTATCTTCTGTCAACACTTCAGTCACAAAGTCCAGAGTTAAGTATGGTGCAATCTGGCATCACCTGTCCTATGCAGTCTCCAACAAGAACTGTGCATTTTGATGCTGTGAATGAGTATGCATGCCAAGAAACATCAAAAGATAAGAACAGTGGTCAAGTATTGGTTCTTGATGCAAACACAACCAACCTTCATTACAATGGAATGCTGCAAATGGGGCTCGATGGATTGGTTGAAAATGAGGACTCACTAACACTTCCCTTCTTGTGGGAGTAAGTAGCTGAATGATTATGTCTTTGTTGGGAAATTTATGAATTCAAAACTTTATGTGTCTGTACTCCAATAATTGAAGCTTAAACTTGTTGAAGCTTTCAATTAGGATCCTTTGTTGCTGTCAATTCAAATTGTGGTCGCACAATTGATTTTGCTGCGGAGAATTTAATGGATTGTATGCCATCAACTATGTTCTTTCTTTTGTCATGTGATCAGTTTGAACAGTTCATTACGTTATTTTCTTTAATGAAAGTTTTTAGGCTTGTTGAGATTTTGGTTATAGATGAAAATAATAAATGCCCACCTAATAAGACAAGGCTTGACTGTTATTGTTGTGATTGAATCTTTCGTATTTATATCAACTTATTGAATTTGAGCAGATGGAAGTGTATTAGGTTCAAGTCAATTTAATAATTAGTGTTGACTAAAGCAAGATGGTTACTTACCTATCTTTGATAATTAAAATGTTACAAAATGTTTGAGATGGGAGTAGTGAAATCCACGGGGGAATGAGATATCTAGATCATTTTGTATTAAATAATAAGGCTCTCTAAAAACACTTTTAAAATAGAAAAATAAAAATATTGAAATAATTTTTTTTCATAAGTTAAAACTAGTTTATATGTAAATTAAAATGAGGTTATGAAAAATCTAATAGGAGAGATTTTTTTTTTTTTTTTTTTTAAAATTAGTTTATACATAAGTTAAATTGATATATGAAGAAATTTATTTATTTTTTCTGTGAGAAGTGATTCAAGAAAAAAAAATCAAAAAATGAAGCCTTAACCATTGCTTGGAGATTATTGAACAATGAAGTAATATACAAGATAAAATCAAGCAAGTTGAAGTAGGGTCAACACCTTTATTTTGTTGGGTGGATGAAAGGTGGCAAATGGTGTCCATATGTCCACTTTTAGAAAGAAATCAGAACTAGATGGCCATTCAGATAGCCTGTCTCCTAAATATGATGGGGTTTGAAGAAAAAGTTATAGTGGTAACACTGTGTACCCAATAACAATGGTGTTTTTAATTAGGAAAAATAATACCAACATTTTGTCTCCCAAGAATTGCCTTTGAATCATCCCACCTAATCCTTTGAAGTTACTCTAAATATTTTCACAGAATGTGTTTTACTCCTTAGATGAGTCCAGGAAAAAAAGTAGAAGCAAGCCAACTAGGACAAGTTTTGTTTTAGAATTATTTTTCTATAACCACTTATACAAGAAAATTTTACATTTTATTAAAAAATTAAAATTAATTCATGCCTGCTTGTCTCCATTCTCATGCCTTAAATTATTTAAGTTTCTGCATGAATTATTTAAGAAATTAATCCAAAAACAAAGCTGAACTAGAAAATTGTTGATTTGACATCTTTCATTCTCATGCCTGTCTGGATTGTAATGTTTCTTTTTGCTTTATCTGAAATCATTGTTGCCGGGAGCAGGATCTGTATTGGCTATTGTAGTTTTCAACAATATTAATTATAATTAGTTAGTAGTTATCTATGAAAAAAATATCATTATTATATGTAACAGTAGATTATTTTATACTCTTTATTTTCGTATTATTAGGAAAGAAGAGAATAACCATTGTCTTCGATCATGTCGTTGTTAAAATATGAAAGAAAATAATTGTCTTTTTTATTTGGTTCTTTCTTTCTTCGAAACAATGTTTAGTTAGGTTCTCTATTTAGGTGTAGGAGTGACAACCAAAATGGAAATAAAGGCAAAAAAATGTCTTCTAAACATCTTTTGCAAATTTTAATCAATTTGGTCAAATTAACACAATCGTTACGTTGTGAACTTGTGTCAACTTTTTTGTATAGTTTGACAGAGACTTGTCCTTCACTTACCACCTCACAATAGTCACAAAGAAACGGGAAAATGATAAATTTACAGAAATAAATTTTTTTAAGTAATCAAATTAACATTTTTTTATATATATAAATCATGTGTAAAGTAGAGGATACATTTGGTTTAAAAAAATCACATGTAAAGTAAAATTTTAAAAATCTTTGACACCGTCAATTAATGATCCTTTTCCCATGCATGAAAAACGTAATAAAAAAAAATCGTGTAAATTTTATAACAATTGTGTATAAATTTGAAGACTTAGGAACATTAAAACTTTACAGTAAAAACCTGATAAGAAAAAAACTATACAAATAGGAAGTGTCTGTTTTTAAAATTTAACTTGCAAACGGTATATATATAAATTATCATGAAAACATATTTGGACACATTATTTATAGAGTTAATCATTTATACACTGTTAAATGAGCAAATGACATGATACTATTAACAGATCTGATTAGTTGCCAATGTAAAAAAACTTTACACTGACAGTGTATAGGTAATTAACTCTTATTTATATATATGTAAAATAAACTTTGATGTTAACTTTTGACATAGATAAAATTTCTTTTCTAATAATTAATTTTATGAAAGAAATAACTCGTGCATTTGAAAACAACAGCTAATTGAAATCGATCATCTACATAAATATTTCATGCTCACATTAATAATTATCACACTATTTAATAGATTAAGAAAGTCATATAACTATTAATATAATCAACCATTAACTAATGAGTGCAACATTAAAATTAAACTAAAAAACAGTCCTGTTCCACCAATGAAGTGACGGAAACAATAATTAAAAGCTTGTTTCCATTTGGGGTATTCAAAAGGTCAAGAACTAATAATTTGAGGTAGTCACAAGCTCTACGTGGTCGTTGGTTGTTCAAGAAATGTAAAACCAATCAAAATCCGAATATCCCCATTTTAATAATAGAAGGAAACCAAATTGAAAGCCCTAGTAGTGCAATAATAGTATTAGGCCCTAGGAGGAATACAAAACAATAGAAAAAAAATATATACTACTTGCATACTTATTTTTATTTATATGACCTAGAATAATTATTTATTTTTTTCATATAAAACTCAATTCATATATCAATTATTTTTAGATTAAAATACCTTCATTAAAATGTGTTCTTTTAATTTGATAAAATACATTAATTATAAACTCTTTAAAAAAATATACAATTTAATTAGTTAGAATTTAATTAGTTAGGAAAAAAATGAATAATAATTGAAAGTGAAAAATAATACAAAACATGTACCCTAATTGGTTAAAAATATATATATAATTAATTAAGAAAAAATAATATAAAGATGGTTTTAAGATAATATATATATATATATATATAAAATAAATTTATTATTATCAATTAAGTTAATTATTTTTCTTAACTTTAGTCAATTAAATAATTGAATATTATATATAAAGACGAACAATGGTAATAGTTGCAATTAACCGACAACATTCACATAAATAAAAAAGAATTATACTAAGCAGTCATGTTATACTAGATTTTATCAAGGTTATGACTTATGACTAATTAGTGGATTTACTATAACCTCCATGTCGAAGAGGTTGAACAATTATTCAAGACGTGAACCGATTCGACGAAAATTTTGAGATCACTAACTTATAGTGTGTTTGAAAATTAATTTAATTTAATTTAACTGGAATTGAAAAAAAAAATTACACTCATAAATTATCATTTTTTTTATATTAAAATAGATAATTTTTTCTTACGTGATTTTAAATTGATATCAAACTGATATCAAATGACACTAAATTTTGTTAACACATTCATACGTAACGTATAAATGTCTATAATTGCACATTATTGTGGCTAACAGATTCTCGAATTTAGAAATCTTGACCACATCACAAGTTGAATATGAAAAACAAAATCCATGCCAATGAGTAACATCTCACGTGGAATAATTGTGGCAGTTGCAAATTTTTCTCTCTCCCTAGGTCATTGCATAAATAAATAATTCCTAAAGTAAATCAAATTCTCAATCATAATTCCCAATACTAGTCCTAACCCATAAGCCAATATTTAAATAATAAACACAAGCCCTAAACCCATTACATAAGTCAATAAATCAATTTGAAATTCATCACAAATAAAAAATGTCAAGTGTAAACACGTCTAATCTCATCTACTGATATTTCTCCAATTTCAGTGGATAGTCATTGAACATTTTTCTTTTTGGTGAGGTTGTGTTGACACTTTCCACTGAGCCCACAAATAATTCTAATTAATTTTCTTCAAAAATAGTTATTTGCTTCTAGAATTTTTTTTTTATTTAAATAGAATGACGGCATCTTGACTCAAAGTTTGTTAAACTTTGCTAAGTCCCTTTGCATAGGAAAATTCAAATAGGTTCCAATAATATAAATTTTTAATAGGTCGGACCCTATATTTCAATAAAAATAAAATTGGGCCTCTAATTAATGGTACAGCTATATGAGGACCCAACTTTTTTTTTTTTTTTTTAATAAACTAGGGGTGGGCCCGTGCTTTGCACGTGAAAAAATGTGAGGAAAAAAATAGGTAAAAGTGAAAAAAAAAAAAAAAAGGTGGAACCACAGTGCACCATGCAGTGACAGATGGCAACGGCTACATAGATTCTAAACTTAAAAGTAATTTTTTTTAGTCTCTTAAATTTAAATTTAATTTTTTTTAAGTTGTTTCAGTCCCTCAAAGTAGAATCATAAGTTAGTTGTGCAACATTAGAGATTTTATTTGATATTTTCCCTCATAAATGAATTTTGTGAACAGATTCAATAATAGTCAAGTTTCTTTTTGGTAACAAACTAAAAAAATGACATTGAGTGGAGTGATTAGAATAATTTTTTTAACATTAAAAAAATTAAAAAAAAAAAAATATATCAATTTTAAATTTGAGAGACAAACAAAATTTTCTTATTTAAGAGATTAAAAACATATAGTAAGCACCTCATCAAAAAAATTTAAACAAACCCATTTGAATTATCTCAAAAAGGGTACACAGACCTTACACTACACCTTATCCTTTCATTGCCAAAAGTAGTTGGATATGGCTGTTCAGTTGGATTGAGAGAACCTAACCCACCCAAGCTCAATGGATCCAGTGATTCCAGATCAGACCCAACCTCCTAAAGCACAGAACTAAACCAACCCAACATTTGTTGTTGTTTGGGTTGGGCAGGTTTGCGTGTTGAGCCAAATCATTAAATAGCACTTCTTAAAGCTTTGTCATACACACCCCACCCCACCACAGCAAAAGAAAAAGAGGATAAAATAAGACATAAATTTAGTTATAGGCTGAGAAAAAGGATTTTCCTAAAAGGATGTAAGCTTTCAGGTCAAATATAAATCACACCTTACAGCAGTGACAAAAAATTGCACTCCAAAACTCAAAATTAAGTCCTAGGTTCCCAGCAGGATGGTTCTCAGCAATCAAGTAATGCAAATATGCCAAAAAACTGGAATGGGGAAAAACCAAAATTGTCATTTGACATTATTTCTTAATATATATATACCAATACAAGGGTCATTCAAGTGTAATATGAACAGAAAGTGATGAAGAATTCAGCTTAAGAAAGACACAAAAACATGTATCCATTCAAAGACAGAAAGAGAACCAAAAAGAAACACAAAATCACTGCTCTAGCATCCGCATCACCTGCATAGACATTAATGCTTGTCCTCCTTGGGAGTGTCTTTTTTCGGATGAACCTTTGATTCAAGTTCTTTGGTGGCCTTCTCCATTGTCCTGAAAATATGGCACAAAATTATGTAACAATCTATGAATTTATCTACTTAAAACAAAAGCATTGTGACACCCTTACTAGTGCAGTTAGATTATTAGTTTAAAAAATTATTTTATTAAGTGTGTGGAAATTTTTTGTGAATTCTCTAACATTAAAAATATACGTGAAAAACTACACAAAAAAAATATTTGGGGGGGCGTGAGAATACATCCAAATATCCAATTCACACCAAGAAAGTTTACAGCAAAGTAAATTTCATAAACATTACAATAATCCAAGTGAAAATAAATTTCAATCAGCAGTTCAGCACAAACATCTCAGTCAGTGTAACATGATCCATTTTCATTTTTAAAAAGAATAATTCAACTGATTCATAAGATAATAGATATCATGTCATGTCCTATGGACCCACCAGCTACTCCATTGATCATTTCCCTAATCAGCAGACATCTCAGCCAGTGTAGCATTCCATTTTCATTTAAAAAAAAATCATTTAACTGATTCATAAGCCAATAGATAACATGCCCTATGGACCCACTAGCTACTTCATTGATCAATTCTCTAATCATATACACTTTAGCTACTATTTCTCTGCAGTGCCCACCCAGCATCAGTCACTGCCTACAGAACCTTTAGCCAGTTAGCCCAAATAATATCAGTATATAATCAAAATGCACAATAATATTCATGCGACTGCACAGAGACTACGTTTCCAAGGACCAGAACTCCACCCTTCCCAAATTTTGCAACGTGTGACTCAACCCTTATTCTCATTCCATTAATCATCAAACAAACCTGACATTTCATAATTCATCAAAAGAAAGTTGTCAAATATTGCAATGAAATTATCCAAATATTTCATTATCATCTTACCAAAATGAATAACTCATTTAAGCAAACATATGTTTCTTGGATTAAATGGGAATCATCCCAAACAGGTCCTTTCATTAATATTTAAACATCACATGCTAGGGTGTCAGGTACAGTATCTATTATTATTATTACTATTACTATTACTATTATTATTATCAATTATAAATTATATTATTAAGGTATATACATAACGTAAGGTTACTAAGGTATGCTAGTTTGGGATACATTATTACTTATCCTATTTTTTCTTATTTGAATTTTCTTCTACTTCTTAAAATAATAGATACTGACACTCACAATGGTAATAGCCATTCTATTTTCTCACTTTTGCATATTCCTTCACCTCTCCTCTTATTGATATTTGGATTTTTAAAAGAAACAATTATTGCCCAAGAGAAATCTTTCCCTTCAGTACTTCAATCTCAACCTCACTGTTTCTTTTAAATTAAAAATAATTCTCACCTTGCTCGTGGTAGGATTACAGCTCACTCAAGCACACACATACATCAAAATAGCCACCTTGCATTTGAATTACTAGCTTATACTTTTAGTAACTAATCACTTGTATTTTCCTTTCTCCAAGGTCACACATGCAAGGTTTAACAATCATTGCTACTTTTAAAATACTTCACTATAATTCTTTTAATTTAAAATTTTGAGCTTTTCACAGGTTTGGGTATCCTTTTGTTCTAATATGGATGAAACTCTATGGGGTTCTTCAAATAAGTTTCAATTCCTTACTCTCCCTAGAAAGCATGTGTTCAGGTCTTCATCTTTCATTTTAGGTTATTCAACTTTAATCTTTCCAAATGTAATCAAATTAGAGCCTCTAAAACAATAAGTCAACATGTATACATCACAATCAAGCCAAGGGAATTAGCTCCTCTTCAAAATCCCATACATAATCAAATAGGAAAATTCATTTCTCAAATCAAAACCAGTCCAGCAGAGATCAAATGAAAGATTCACATAAAATTTGTAAAATTTTCACAAGAAAATAAATCAACAGAGTACAGAAACAAATCAAGCTCCAAACCCTCCCTCAAATCCATGCACCATGTCCCATAAGCTCCACATACAGAATTATTATACTAAAGAAGAAGGCAACAGCACATACAACGACTAGATTTTCTAAATTCATTTCCCATGTGCAAATCAAGACACAGCAGAGAAAAATAGCAACTCGTGAAATTATCTTTAAGAAATAGACTCTAAGAACCCTGGTTTTAAAGACCTTAAAGCCCAGGAAATTTTCTACTAACCCTAGAAAATTTACTCCGCAAACACTCAAGAGAATGAAAAATATCCACCCCTACCTCTTCTCAATGCCAAACTAAGATGGTACTGGTCCACAAAGCTTGAATTTCTTTCATGCATGAAATGCTTTAGTTATCATGAGCCTTACAGCTCTTGAGCATGAGTCTTACGGTCTCAAAGGCCCTAAAGGTTACCTATATATACAAGTGAGTTGATGAAGAGGAATATGGCTTCTCGTGGGTCACAACTTGGGCCAACATAGGTGTCAAATCTCTTTAGTTAATCTACAACATAATCCTCCCAAGGGTCTTTTCTTTTCCTTTTAATCAGTTTAATCTTTCAAAATTACAAAACTTATCTCTAATTATGTTATACTTACTAATATGTGGTTTGCCAATTGAAACAAAGAAACTTGGGAGCCATTCTCTTATGAGTTTTCAACTTCATTTACATTGACAATATCATTCTACTCATTACTATTATCATCACTACCAATAGGAAATAATCAGTGCCTAATACCACTAATTTAACAAGAAGCTCAATTAATCTAAGAGAAGGGTTTCACAAGTTAGCATCATTTTTTACAAGCTTTTTTTTTTTTTTTTGAAAAATTGGGTGGATCCACCAACTGCAGTTGTTTTCTTCACTTCCCATTAAAGGGAAAAATGTTGAAAGATCTAGAGGATTCTTCAGCAAAATTTTGTAATTCATTGCTAAATCTCTATCAATTAATGATGAGGGCTACTTATTTGAGTTAATAGTACCCCCTTTGCAAATTACAATAAGAAGGGAGAATATTCCAGAAACATACTGAAAAATTAAAATAACCATCAACAACCAGGCCAAGTAACATTGCAAGAGAAACAGAGGATTTTCATTACTTTCAAGTTTCATGGTCCTCTTTTTACATTCCAACACGATTTATCAATTAATAAAACTACATTGAGCCTCACATCTTTCGTTCTTGAAATTAGTAAGAACTGCAAATAATTCTAAATTATGGCTGAATGGTTAAATTCCTACCGCCAGTGACTCTAACAACATAAAAAATTATCCATATCACCCGAAACAACTTTTGGCAGCATATCAATCACAAAACTAAGGTACCCTGCATCCCTTAGATGACTACCTTATACATATAAAGTGAAACAACATTTCACTTGTATTCTTCTCATCAACCTCTCAAGTCAAATAGAGGGAAGATAAGGAAAAGAAAAGTAACAAAAGTCAACTATCTTCAACCCAACAACAGCTACATAAATCCTTCCAACAATACAAACTTTCTAGTCCTACATAGTACATACACTAGTTACAAACTCTAATGACATGTTTGAAAACAGAAATTTAATACAAAATAACAAGTGCACTGCACATAGTTACCAGAATCACAGTGTTCTCTAAGCAGCACACGTGGGGTTACTTAGTTGGTATGCCATTGGTGTTCATAATCCACCTTTTTATATTTTACTTGTCTCAAAATCCAATCACATAGACCTATGAACAAATATAGAGAACCACAATCCAAGGGTTTCGTTTCCTCGAATTCTCACACCCCATCAGAACCAGAAAATGAAATCCACAGAACTACGAAGATATTGAAATGTATTACACAAACGCCTGAAACATATAATCAACATCTAAAATCACCACCATCATGATTTTCCCTCAGTTCCATGCTCTCTCTCATTACTCTCCTTGTGCCCACACAAACCTCACCCGAAGGCACACCCATAATAAATTAAACAACCCATCTACATATTTTTTTAATCAAATGCTTATGATTCACAATCTCATAGTTAACACTTTACCCCTCCAAAACCCATCTTCCCATTCTCGCTCAAAATAATTAAACAAATAAGGGTCGATATGAACAAGAAAAAACGAAACAACCCACTACGCAAATTTGAAACTTTGAACGCAAACTGACTTGGATGAAGCGGCGGTTTCTTCTTCGAGCCAGTGACGGATGTGTTTGACGTTGCGGCGGAAGATGGAAGCAGATTGCTTGACGTCACTCCTAAGGAGGAGAACGACGGCGCTTACACCCGCCACCGTGAGAACGAAATTCGTCAACCCCATGCCTTCGTTTTCGCACTCTTATGAACCCAAAATTAACCTACAACAACGCGTTACACATCTTTATTCCGTCCTTATTCTTGTTTTTACAACGATGTTCTCATAAAACGTGATTTGCGACTGAGTCTGCCTGTGCCCGCGTAATTTTAGGGGTTTTTTTTTTTTTTTCTTTCAAGATGTCTTGTTGGTTTAATCATTAAAAAAACATTTTTAAATAAAATTAGTATATATTTTCTTGTGTTTATATATATATATATATATAATCTAACTACATCCTGATGAGCAGAAGATGAGGCACGAGCGAAATTCGATTGTTCCTCTTCTCTTGGTTCTCCTTGTTCTTTAGAAGAAGGCGTAAGAAAGAAAATGAGTCAGAGGAGTGAATGTGTGAAATGACTCTCGTAACTTCTAATAACCACCATTTTCTCAAATTGATATAATAATAATAATAATTAGTAAAAGACTACTACATCCTTCATTCCTTTCTCATAAAATAATATAATTAAAACACCTTTCCTCCTTTTTAATAAATAACATAAACATAGTTCTTGAGAAAACATATTTTTCATAAAAGTAGTCTTATAGTAAATAATCTAAATATTAATTAAAAATCATTTTTATATTAAAATAGAGCTCACATAAAATAGATAAATAATATAAAATATATTTCTCCCTTTTAGTAAAAATAACACACGTTTATATAAAAATAGAACACATATCTACTAACTAAATAATATTAAAAATTCTTGTAATAAATACATTAAAACATTAAAATAATTAAATACTGAGATATTATTAATATAATTTTATGAAAATCAGGGTGTTTCAGAAGGAAGCTTTATGGTTAAAAGGGATGATTGGTGAATTAAGTATATTACAAAATTATGACAATTCATTATGATAACCAGAGGGTTATACACCTTGCGCACATCATCAAGTTTGTCATCAGAGGATGAAGTACATTGATATAAGGTTTCACTTCATCATAAATGTGTTTGAATCTAAGGAAATTCATATTGAGAGGATTGTGTTTGAAGACAATCTTGCTAATGTGTTTATGAAATCTCTCACAACATCTAAGTTCAAGCATTGTTTGGACTTGATCAACTTCATCTAATGTTCATTTTGAAGTGGGAGAGCAATACTATTGTGAAAGGATCCTTTCTATAGATTTAGAGTCAAAGTAGATAATTGTTGATTGTGACTCAAAATCTTCTGTATCATTTGTATGCTCTGTAAAGTCTTTAGTGTGAATAGGCTTATAGGTTTAGTCTAACTCCTTTCGTGTGAAGGGTTCAGACTACGGATACAATCTATCTCCATTAGTCTAATGGATTCAATTTGTCCTGTTTTATAAGACTTAGTCTTAGTATCTTAAATCCCTATATATATGTTTTGGGGATCCTTTCTATATAGAGTTCAACATAGAGAGAAAAATGTGAATAACAAAGTGCTAACTGTGCACAAAGAGTTGAGAAGAAGATACGTAGAGAAGAACGAAGAATCGGTTATAAGGATTAAGGGGTTTTTGAGAAGAGCAAGTGGTTGTTCTGTTGTAAAGACTTGATCTTATTTTTAGATAGTGGAATCTACTATTTCCCATGGATGTAGACCGAATTGGTTGAACCACGTAGATAGTTGTATTCTCTTCTCTCAATCTTTTTCGTTTGTTATTGCATTTTTCTTACGTTTACGTTTTACGCTCTTATTGGGCTTTCTCATTTGTACGCTTTTGTTTGTTCTTGCATATGGTCTATTCTTATTTGTTTTCTTTCTTGTTTTAGAACCAATAATACACAAAATTCTTTTATTTTTTTGAGAATTTTAAATTGAAAATCTTGATTTATTATATTTGGTAATTAATTAAAAGAAAAGACTTTCTAGAAATATAATTTCTCAAGAATCATTTTTATTTTACTTTTTTACAAAAATATTTCCATGAGGTGACAATCCAACTTTCTCAAGTTTATATAAAAGATCATAATATATCCTTTTTTTAAAAAAAACTTACTTAATAATTTTTTATCTATTATCTCTTGAGCAATATAAACATGAAAACACATTAATTTTATTAGCTAATTAAAATATAAATTAAATTAAATAATTCATTATGCATATTACTTTATAAGAAAAAAATAAAATTGGTGCAACATTTCATGTATAAACTTTTAATAAATTATTTTATTGTGTTTTTTTATTACATAATATTTTAATGTTATTAGGTAAGAATTATTATTTTTTATCACTTTTCTCATTAATCTAATAATAAAAATGAAATAATTATATAATTTTCATAAAATATTATATTTTATAATTATTTAAAATTTATAAATTATAAAATTGCATTATTAATTTATTATTATGATTTTTATCCTTTAAATTTAACAAATTATTTAAGCAAAATAAGTATATTTTTTTGTTTTCTAGTTTAATTATATTTTTATTTTAATTATTATTTTGATTGTTAATTTAATTTTTTTATTATTAAAATAAATTATGAAAAGTATATTTTACAATTTGATTTACTGTGTTTTTACGTATGTATAGCTTAATAATGTGTAAATTGTTTATTTGTTATTTTTAAGCTAAATATGATATTATTTTTATGTTAGATTATGACACGATTACACCATGTAAGGGAGAAGAAATTCCATCTTTTATAAAAAGATATTTTTGTAAAAAATATTTATATAGTCGGGAAAATAATATTGTAATAAAATGTGAGCATTTTTATTTATGAGAAAACTTATATTAATAGTTTCAGGAATCTTTATGGGTAGCTAAATGAATTTTAGTCATTCCCACGAATCATGATTTTCGGGTATGAAAATATTTCTCTCCTACCAAATGCCTCCTAAAAGACTTAGAAATTTTGTTGTGCGTTAGGGGGGTTCACACACATGTCTCTACGTACATTAGTAAGATATTGTCTATTTTGGATCTAAGCTTTCATGATTTTATTTTTGGTCATCACTCAAAATATCTCTTACCAATGGACAATGTAGATAATTGTGCATATAAAAACTCATGTTCATCCGCTTGTTTAAATGATGTGGGACTTTGATTATTTTTAAAAATTCTCCCTTCAAACAAAGGATCATGGTTTTACCCCCTTTTGCAATAGAAGTTATCAATCTATGAGTATATTCGATGGTGGCCCATAGAACCCAATCATGCTCTAAATACTTGTACCTTCGCTCTATCATTAACTGACAATAGAAGTACATGCCTCTTAACCCTCCATGTTACTGGGAAGACCCTCTTCCATATATGGATCCACCATTAAGAAGACTTTTAGCACACGAGGTTATTCATCCACCTACCAATTTCATCATACTCGTCTAGCCGATCACCTAGACATGGCTTTAATACCATTTTTATGTATTGGGGGGTTCACACGCACACATGTCTCTATATTAGTAAGGTATTGTCCACTTTGGGTCTAAGCCCTCATAATTTTGCTTTTGGTCATCACCCAAAAGGCCTCTTACTAATGAAGACATATATGTGTTTATAAACTCATGTTCATCCTCTTGTTTAAACAATATGGGACTTTAGTTGTATCCCAACAATCTTTCTCTAAAACAAAAGATCATAGTTTATTCCCTCTTACAGTAGAAACTAGTCCATAGGTATATCCAATGGTGGCCCATGGAGATCAGTCGTGCCTTAAGTACTTATATCGCTACTACATCATTAACTCACAATAACGAGACATGTCTCCTAACCCTCCACGTCCCCAAAAAGACTCCTCCACTAGGGATGACAAATATACCTGTACTCGTGGGTAATACCCGAACCTATCCCGACTTTGACGGAGAATACCCAGTTTGAAAAATTATATATACATATATATATATATATATATATATATATATATAACACATCTTGAAATGAAATGCAAATTTGTGTAAGCATTTGTGACTTATTTGTTGTCCTAGCTTGAGGCTGAATATTATTTATTGTCTTTTAGGCATATTTGATTTTCATTTTACCTATTTTAAGTGGTAGAATGCTATTTGTTCATTGTTTTTTTTTTTTTTTTTACTCAATTCTAGAACCATTCTTACATTTACTTTTGTATTCTAACTTTCTTAATTGTACCTGAATTTCTTGTTTGTCTTTCTCTGGAATTCCTTCTAAAATGTCATATTAATTCTTAAAATAACTTAAGTATTTTATAATATATTTTTAAATAATTATTTTCATCTCTATTTTTTTGACTTTTTTGCCCATTTGATTATATAGTAACTTTTTATGGATAAAGGATAAAATAGAGAATATATATATATATATATATATATATATGTGTGTGAGAGA